TCCTTTGGAAAGGAAACAGACTCTCATTCTTGCTATCATATATTGGAAAATTGCCCTTTTTTTTTTTTTAAAGATGGATTTACCATGTGGGAACAAATCCTCCTGGTCTTGATCAATCGGCTGTCCAAATGGGAAAATTATAATCCCTTTTCTCCTCCCTCATGCATGTTCCAAAACAAAGAGTATATTTTTATGCAACAAACTGGGCCAATAAATTGTGCCCTTATAGAAAATGTTTTGTGGTAAAAGGAGAGAGATTTACAATAAGCAGGAGGTACCTTAGAGGACTGGGAAGTTCAGTATTAATGTTCAGATTATTTACCAGCAAAACAGATTCAACCTCCTTCTTATGATGAGAAATACACATGAGGAAAATATAATAACATACAACCAGACTCTCTGGCTTAATACCCATTTCTCCTTTATTTCTGCTCCAAATCCATCTTCAAAGAAATGGGAGTAGGCTTAAAAGAAACCTGCAATCTCCACTAAAAACAGGAAGATTATGAGGTTACTTGGGGATTTGGCTAAGCATAAGTAGACTTTAAAAATCAAAAACTGAGTTTGATTTGTTTCTCTGATCAAATCATATCTAGGAAAGCCCACAGAAATTAAGCAGTTTTGTCCTTTCCCAAATTTGTAAATGCCCTTACTATGTAGACAGGACATCTGTTTCTTCCTTGAAGCTGCATTCCCCAACTTTGTGTTTTTAAAATTAAGGGAAATACTTCTGAGGTAAGTTTGACATATGTAGTTCTAGGTTTTGCTGTTGTTGCTTGGTTGGTTTTCTGGATCCCCTGAAGCAAAGTTTCAAGACAATAGGAAAATACCACTGATCCAAAAGGCAACCAATTTAAATTTGAAGATATAGCTGGTTATTCATAAATTCTTTTTTAAAAATTGTGTTACTCATTGGCCAACAATCGGTTAGGAGTCAATATACAATTCAGTTACAGGAGTATCGCTTGGAAAATATGGTAAAAAAAAAAAAAAAAAAAATCCCTGAAAGTTACATTTCAACACCTAACAGAAGAATGTCAGTACTCTGATACTTCTCTAAATTATTATAATCAATCAATATGGTATGCTCTAAAACATTTATGAGGTAAAATAGATAATGTACACCAGCTTACTCTTTCAAGTTCCATTTTGCATGCTTTTGGCAACTGTGAACTTTGTTTCTTAAGATTTATTTATTTGAAAGAGAGGCAGAGAGTTTGTGTGCAAGTTGGGGGAGGGGGAGAGGGAGACAAAAAATCCCAAGCAGACACCCCACTGAGTGTGGAGCCCTACGCTGGGCTGGATCTCAAGACCCAGGGACCATGACCTGAGCTGAAACCAAGAGTAGGACACTTAACTGACTGAGCCACCCAGGAGCCCTGGCAACTGTGAACTTCTGACATGAAGAAATATGCCAGGAGAAGTTGAGAATAAACACTTCTACTTCTGATTCATTCAGTTAAAAATATGTACTGACTTTCTATCATGCACCCAGAATATTTTATAAGTTAGTAATAAAACTTACAGCTGTTGGATTCAATATATCAATTTGTAAATCTTTGAACAGAATTCAAGTGCTCCTCTAAGTGACACCATTCTACCATCTCTCTTAAACTAGATTACACATGTAATTATAATATTAACATATTGATATAAAATGGGTACAGGTGTATTTTTCTATAAAAACTATTTCAACAACTAATGATCATCAACGAATAGTAAATAGAGAGATCATATTTATGTTGGTAGTCAAATTTTTTAGGAGTTAACAGACTGTCAAACAACAGGAATATTTTTTATTCTGGTGAGATGGTAAAATTTGTACTGTTAAAGCAAAATTGCACTGGACATAATGAAATAGGCCAGGAAAATTTTATTCAAGGGTGTGCAGTAGGGAAGAGAAATCAGAACTCAGTCCAACCTCAAGTCCACTGACATAACAGATGGGGACATTTTTAAGGGCTGAATTGGAAGGGGCATGAATGGGAGTTTTTAAGAGCTAGAGTTGGGGGAATCCTAGTCACCTGTGCTTGCTAATTGGCATTACCCCCCAAAAAAGATAAACTTTCTCTTATAATCATGACCCAAGATAGTATTACAACGTGGAGCAAGGTACCTGTCCAAATTAGGCTCCTACCCCACAATAGAGACTGGGCGACAGGGGTCTATACTCCTTGGTGATTGCATTTGAAAGGGATGCCTGCCAGGTCCTTGAGAAAGCTAGTCCTGGGTTGTAAAACTGCCAAGAGGCTTTCAAAAAATTATAATTCAAAGAATTTACCATTATAATTTTTCTAAAGTAAATGCTGTAAGAAAAGGGAAGTCAGGGACCTCTGGGTTTAAGACTTCTGGATTTTGTAAGGGCCAAGGTGAGAGGGAGGTCAGGGGCCTAGACGTAAGTAAGAAGTCTAATGTACACCAGTTTACTCTTTCAAGTTGAGGGAAATGTTAAGGCCATGTTGGTCAGTACTCAAAGCTGAAAGAAACATTTAATAAATAAAAGTATCAATATCAGGGGCACCTGGGTGGCTCAGGTGGTTAAGGGTCTGCCTTCGCCTCAGGCCATGATCTCCAGGTCCTGAGATTGATCCCCCATGTCGGGCTCCCAGCTCAGCAGGGAGTCTGCTCCTCCCTCTCCCTCTCCCCCTGTTGTGCTCTCTCTCTCAAATGAATAAATAAAAAAATAAATGAAAACATCAGTATCAAATCAAATGTATAACCAGAAGTAGATACAGTTGATCCTTGATACAGGGGTTAGTTAGGGTCACTGACCCCTGCACAGTCAAAAATCCACATATAACTTTTGATTCCCCAAAAACTTAACTAGGAGCATACTACTGACTGTGACATACATATTATTTACATAAACAGTCATAAACACGTATTTTGTGGGTTATATTATATGTATTCTTAGAATAAGCTAGAGAAGAGAAAGCATTAAGAAAATCATAAGGAAGAGAAAAATACATTTACAGTACTGTAAAAAATCTGTAATCTGTAAGTAGACCCACAACAGTCCAAACCCTTGGTGTTCAAGGGTCAACTACATAATCTACTGTATTTTGTTATCATCAAAGTGCATTTCTCAATTTATTACCAAAAAAGAAGACATGTTTTCCCTTATGCCTCTCTGCCTTGCTTTCACTCTTTAGACCAGCAGTTGGCAATCTAAGTCCACTGCCAAAACCAGCCCATAGTTTTTGTTTTTAAAATAAAGTTTTATCAGTACATGACCATGCCCACTTGTTTACTTAATATCTATGGCTGCTTTTGCACCTGGAGTGCAGAGTGGAGCAGTTGTGACAGAGACTATAGGACCCACAAAGCTAAAAATACTTACTATGTGGCCCTTCATAATTATAGGCTCATATGCAGGTCACTTGATACCAAAGAAGTATCCAAAAATACCTTCTTGTTACTGTTTACTTAAGTCAAAGGTAAGAGAAAAATACAAGCGATAAAATGAATAAAGGATGATCTTCCTCTTTTAAGCTGTCATACAGTTACCCTTTTTCTATATTAACATGATTATGCTTCTCAGAATATAGGAAACATGGCAAAGAAGTAATGTGACATCAGCTCACAGAGATATTTTGGAATAAATTTAACTTGATCCTTTCTTTTATTGATATTTTTTCCAGAAGCAGGCTCTTCATTGCTGTTGCTTTGCTGTTGTCTTTTTTAACATAGTTTATTTTAGACTGTTAATCATAGTTGCATTTTTATTGTGCTCAATTTGGTGTGAGGTATTCTGAATTATAGCCAATGACATGGGACAGAGCAGATGACAAAGTCACAGGATTCCATTATGGCTGCCCAGTTACAAAATAGGTTGCCTCAAAAGGAGTGTGTTGTTGCTGTATGTGCACAAGCAGAGGGATGATGACCATCAGTAATGGATGCAACAACAGGGTTTCTAATCTGGAGAAAGGTTCAATTGCATGACCTCTAAGTTCCTTTTCACCTCCATAATCTATAAGTCTTTATTATTTAGATTTAGGACATTCTGTTGACTAAAAAAACATACAATTGATCAAAAAAAATTTTAAATGTAGTCTTACATAGAATGTTCTAGATTTATGCTAAAAACAGTAAACTTTGAAAAAGAGCATTGATTTTGGTCCAATCCACATCCATCATTCAGATGGTTGAAAATGACTATCTGGGCCAGCTTCTATTTGGTTGACATGAAAATATTATCTGATCCTTAATATAAAAGTACAGTTTTCTAATAAACATAAATAGTTTACATATTATATATGGTATATATCTGAACAAGATGCATTTATATACTTAGACCAGGTTTCAAAGGTAAACTGTAGGCAAGGAATAACACAATTCTAAACCCTTACCAAAACTCCTCAGTAAGGGTCACTTCCATAGAACCCATTTACTGCAGTACGTGTGTTCTCAATAAATCTTGGTTTTGAAATAGTAGCACCGCTATAAATATAGGAAGGAAGAATATGCAGCCTATTGTTTGGGTCAAGACAGTGTCATGGCTCTGGATGCGTGTCTCTGACACCAACAGACTCTGTAAAGTTGGACAATGCACTTCCATCATCAGGCTTTAGTTTCCTCAGATATCAAATAAGGTATTGGTTCTCAAACTTCAGAGTTTATAAGAAGCATCCAGAGGGCTTATTAAATCACACATCACTGGGCCCCACTCCGAGAGTTTCTGATTCAGTAGGTTTGGAGTAGGGTGGAGAATTTGCATTTTGCAAGTTCCCAGGTGTTGCAAATGCTGTTTCTCAACGGAGCACACTATGAGAACAAAATAAGGTTTGGGAAGAAATGGTTGTAGCGAATTACCAAATCCTTAACACTTTATAGCTGTGAGAGAGCGTAGCCAGCACCAAATGGGCACATTCAAATGTAACTGACTTTGTAATCAAAATTTCATTTGAATTAGAAGAAAGGAGATGAATGCTTTTCTTTCTTTTTCTTTAGATTTCAACAGAGATTTTCGAACACTGTACGAGTTTTAGAGTACTTACGTCATAGCTTGATAAATGGATTCAATCCCATAACGCATGGCAAATTCATCGACTATTTCTTGGGAAGCATCATCAAAGAAAACCTTCCAGGCTTCCTCCCCTTTGACCTCTGGGATTTTCACTCCACCATTAGACTTCACTTCAGTCAAGTAATGGAAGAGATTCTAAAAGTAAGTGGTTTTCAATTGTTCAGTAATTCCTCAGAATAGGCCAGAAATATGTAACTGTAACTCTCAGTAATTTATATTTGCATTGTGATTGCATCTAATGTTTCATCAGCATATAGAAGCAATAGGAATATATTGGATTTTTATTCTAACTCATCTCATATTTATGCAAATTGGTTTTATTTCTGCCTATGTCTACACAGAATCAAAGATTCAGATGTTTCATACGTACCAATTCATTGTAGAAGGAAGTATAAGTTTTTGTATGTTAACATTTCTACATGCTAGAACATATTTTGCACTCATGGGCTCTGAATAAACTGTAAGGCCCTGGATGAATACTGTGATTTTGGCTATGTTAATACAGAATTCTAGTATATAAAGGGCTTTGTGAAACGGTAGGAGTCAGAGCTATGAATTGAGGTTAAAATGAATGTTTGAGAATTCTGTAATGAAGTAAAAATCACTACATACAATTTCTTTTTGCTTTTAACAAGTTTGGGAACTGCTATATGGATGCAGCCTGGGTCACTAAAGGACTCTTTCTTGAATTTAATTCTTTTTGGTTCTTGGACTAGCAGAAAAGGACTCTGAAAAGCAAAGTATATTGCTGTTCCTCTGATCCCAAATATTCTCTGTCCAAACTATAAGGCCAGAGTTGGCTCTCCATCCTGCCAGTTCAGGGATTACTATTTATTGATTTGAAAACTGACCCACCTTTCTTAAAGGAGTAGTATCACTGGCCAGATTGGAGTCAGGAACTTAAGCTTGGGTCCCATATCTAATTATGTGTAAGGTGTAAATGATTTAAATACTGTTCCCCATTCATTCTTTAGTAAAATGCAAGTGCAAATAATTCCACACATAAATTTTCATAGATACCTTTAGGAAAGATTATATGCAAAGAGCAAATATTCTGTTATCTTTTTCTACCTTAGGAAGGTATTTTCTTCTCCACCTCTCTGAACATGGGGAAAGGTACCTTCCTCAGCTTCACCTCTTATTTTCTGATACACGGAACAAGAGTCATTTTTATCAGAGACAGGCTCTGGGGACAGCTCTAAGCTCTTAGATGCAAAGCATCCAATAGAAACAAAAGACTATGTGTCTGGGGCGCCTGGGTGGCTCAGTCATTAAGCGTCTGCCTTTGGCTCAGGTCATGATCCCAGAGCCCTGGGATCAAGCCCCGCATTGGGCTCCCTGCTACGCGGGAAGCCTGCTTCTCCCTCTTCCACTCCCCCTGCTTGTGTTCCCTCTCTCGCTGTGTCTCTATCAAATAAATAAAATCTTTAAAAAAAAAAAAAAAAGACTATGTGTCTGTATTCTACACTGAGGTGATTCTGCCCTTTGGATTCAAACTGGGTAGTCTAACCTCTAAGCCAACCAAGCCTGACTTTTGGGGCAGATATATTCTCTACCATCCCTGGGTGGTAAGGAAATTTTGATCCTTCCCATTCTCAACATGTTTGTGGAATCAGTAATTAAAATGGAGGATAGTTCAATATGTATGAAGCCCTTTGTTATTCTAGAAAAAGAAAAAAAAAATCATTGCTTATTACAATGGCTACCAAAAACCACTGATGCAATATCAGCAATTTTGTATTTCTAATACTCCCAACTAAATCTTTAATAAAATCTGAACACAAACTCAGAGTTCTCAAAAATAATATTTGGATCCTCTCCTGTATTACTAAAGTACTGTATATTTAATGCTTCCAAAATATTTGTCATAACTTTTTTTTTAACAAATGCTTTTGATATTTTTCTTCTTCCTTGGTCTACTTATTAATTATCATCTTACTGCCTTGTTTAATACCTGCCTCATGTGTTTGTTCTGACTCTCAGTAGAGGACATCTGCCCACTCTTCAGAGAGTAAGACATAGGCTGTATGATTCCCTAGCACATCACATGCTATATAGTACATAGTACAGGGTCAAAACTCCAGGAACAAATTCAATTTGCACAAACCTAATTCAATTATACTTTTAAGCCAAATATCTTGTTATATAATCCACAAAGACCTACTTCTCTTCAAGGTTTTATTATTAATACAATTCAATTCACTTACCTCATGTAAACATGTATATTGTATATGGTATGGGGCAACCTTCTCCTCTCCTTTTATTTCCACATTGATTTTCAATCGAATGGCCCCAGACACAGCTGACTTATCTGTCCGTTTCTCTGATAAAGTGAAACAGTAATTGGTCATTTTTGAAAATACCATATTTCTCAAAGAAATTCTCAAAAGCTTTAAAAAGGCTTACATGGCTAAAAGCCACTTTTTTAGATCAGGTTTGATTATTAACTAGCCATCATGATTCTGGTAAACACAATTTAAAATAATGTGCCTAAAATATATGTGTCACTAACTGTCAAACCACATTACAGATACTTCAAACCACAAAGCTTAATCGGAAGACTCTGCCATTCTGATACAAACTTCTGTGTACTTGATCAGTTTCTACAATGAAATTAATTGTTTGGGCAATTAAAAGCAAGATAACTTAAAAATACAATTAACCAGAAAACTATTTCATGTAAAAGCTTTCATTTCTCTTTCCATGCTTGAAAAGATGAGTCAAAGCTCTAACAAAAATTTGTTCACAGTTTTATCAGTGATTCCTAAAGACATACAGTCTATGGCCTGTGTTTACTAATGTGTTGGATTAACTGTTTATTGGGACGGAATCAATGTGCAATCAATTCAATCAAATAATGTGTGTGTTTAATATGACCTGATCAGTAGCTTTAAGAGAAAAAAAAAAAGCATAATCACAAAATTCCTAGAGTTTGAATGTACATAGGGATCTACATTTGATATCTACTTCACAGATGAAATAAAAAGAGGCAAGCTGACACAAATAAAACACAAGGAGGTAGAGTAACAGAGAAAGTGGCAAAGACTTACTGACTCTCTTCCTAAGCATGACTGTATTTATAGTCATAAAAGATACATTTAAATCATGAAGTCTGCCTTCTTCTTGTGGAATGTCTGCTGACTTTTCATTGTTAATATTTGAGTCATTATGTTATGAAGATTCTTCCCCGAGGAGTGCCAGTATCATGAGAGTTTCTCCTACTGGCTGGGAGATAGTTGATTTTCAACAAATCTTAAAGTTCTCTGCTGGGGCCAAAAGAAATGCAAGTTCTGGAATCTTTTTGTCACAGACTTCTGTCCAAAGTCCCAGGGAGCATTACTGGTTCTTTGATTTTAACCATCATCATCCCCAGAAACATATGGGACACTGGCTCTGCTTAGATGCCCAGGACTTTTGGCCAAGTCCTCCTCTGCATGGTGGAATGAATTCTATGTGATGAAGGATGATCACTATACAAAGAGTATAAATATGGTACTTTGGGGATTGAACCTACTAAGGGATCTTACACAAATCTAAAACCTGTCCTTCCCTGCCTCCCTCCTTCTCTCCTTCTCTCTCCTCTAAAACTCCCAATGTTAGCAAATGAGGGCACAAATATAAAAACTGCCAGTGAACAGGCAAAGATTTCCCTGTCCTGTTGCATCATATTTTCCTCCCCATACATGGAAGGACCATTTCAGCATAAGAGCTGAATAGCCGATTTTTACTGATTTTACTAATAATAGCTCATTCAAGCTCCTTGGCAAACTGAATTTACCCACATCAAAAAACATGTGACAGGAGGCAAAGAACATCAAAAGAATTGTTCTTTTGTCAAAAGAACGACTTAAGGAATTTCTGTTTTGGATTCTAACTGCTTCAATTCAAGGACATGCTAACTTACTACAGAAAAAAAGTCTATGTATAAGTAAACCGCTTTACAACACAATTTGTGAGTATTGCACAGAGCTAATGTCCTGAAGTTTATTTTTACCTAACATCTCCGTTTTCATATAGAAAAGGTGTCTTATAGTATAAACAAGACACAGGAGGATGATCACTATAACTGAAAAATTCCATCAATAATGTAAAAGCACCAATTTTCTTTAAGGAAGATTTCTTTCAAATATATTTTGATATTGGGTTCTTAGTCTAGCTTGAATCATTTGTATCCAGATAAGTTATATATCTTTCGTTCTTTAAAATTATTGTATTATTTAGAGTTTCATTAGTTCTATGACTTTATCCCTTTACTTTGTCAAATATTTCATTATTTGAAGTATGTGGGTTTTTCAAAAAGCCAAAAGCTCTCTTTAACTTACTACAATATATTGATAATCTAAATGGAAACTCTTTGTAATCCTGGGACTGTATAAACACTTCTTTGACTTAACCAGCCCTTAAAATTTTAATTAAAACATTTCCGATGATAGCACTAAAAAATTTTGGATCTGGCAATCATCAGTTTGTTCTCTTTATTGGTAGATCTGATTCTGGTTTTTGTTTATTCATTTGTTTTGTCTTTTAGATTCCACATGAGTTAATGGGGTTGGGGGAATGGGCAAAATAGGTGAAGGGGAGTGGGAGAAAGAGGCTTCCAGTTATGGAATGAGTAAATGATGGATAGGAATAAAAGGTACAGCACAGGGAATATAATCAACAATACTGTAACAGTGTTGCATGGTGATGGATGGTAGCTACACTTGTGTGAGCACAGCATAACATGCAGAGTTGAATCACTATGTTGTACACCTTAACCTAACAGAACATTGTGTATCAGCTATAGGCAAACATATTGTTGTTTTTTTAAAGATATTTTGGATCATGTCCTTTATAGAAACTGAGCTGATCCATATATTTTTTACTATTATTAAATCAGCACTGAAGATTCTGGGTTATTATTCAATTACTGTAAAAGTCAAAATAAAACTTTATTTAATTCTTGGTTCCATAATAAAATTTCATTTAAAAAGTCATGCCAACTAAACATATTCTCAGTATCTTTATCAACAGAGTAAACATAAGTCCACATATATATGGCTTTGCCAATGATACCCTACTTTTATATAATCATTCGAAAGATATCCAAAATACACTTTTCCTTTATTGCTAAAATTTCACTAAGGAATCAAAAGGAAGTCAAACAGCATAAAGTCATAGGTTATTTTTTTTTAATCCATTCAGCAAAGTTTTTGAAGCTATATTTATGAATTAAAAATCAAGAATGGGATATTTTTCTCCTAAAAGACACCCAGTAGATTTTTTGAGACTTTCTCTTTTCATCTCAAGTTTACCAACATCTTTCAATAATACTGAATTTGAATAAATATTTCAGCAGAATATTGTAGAAAGACACTGATTATTTTTACTTATATGGGAATAATGCAGGCCACAGATATTCTGAAATTTATTTAACTGTTTTTCAAGTAAATTTAAAAATAGTCACCTAAGTTGTACCAGACATCCATCTCTCCACTCAGGGTCCTCACTTCTACAATTGTCTGTCCCAAAAAATCATCTGACTCCTTTCTGAAATGTTGCTTGACTCTGGATTTAATGTCATCATCTTCATCCCACACTCTGACTTTGATTCGATCTGTGGAGTTATGGCATTCACTGAAAATAAATGTGGATAAGTTAATAACTATTGGTAATGCTCTAAATGGCATTTGATGTTAGCAACTCATTTTAAATCTATCTAATCCAGAAAGGCATAGTATGTTACCTAATAAATGAGATTTCCCACTGACCCATTCCATCTGTAGGATGTTACAGATGTCAGGGATATTGAAAAATGTTGCATTAGTTAAGCAATGTTAATAAGGGGTAATCATATCCTATTCCAACATAATTCCTTTAACTGAACTAAATATAATCAAATACGGGTCAAAAATATTTAGTGTATTTTCTCTTTGATATATTTCCTATTTGCAGTGGTTTTCTAGAAAAACACAGCCATGCTCAGAAAATACTGCACCATCAATATAAAGCTAATTTTACTGCTATGGATGTCACAGAGTATAAATGACAACACAGTTATGTGCTAGTACTTAATACTAAAAATCCCAGTAAGTATGTAAGATACTGTTAAATCAATTAGAATTAGAGCAAAACCCTCTGTTTTTAAGAATAAACTTCACACTTTAATCCATTTCTCACTTCAAGGTTTCCTCCACTTATTCTTGTTGAAACCCACACATACAGTGTTAGCATTCCCAATACATATTATGGTGTTTCCTGACCCTTTGGCTTTTGTATACACTCTTCCCTATGCTTCTCTGTCTGCCAACCAATCATTCTTTAAGCATCGGGTCATCACCTGCTCTAACTTTTTTTGGTAGCTATTGAGCCAGTTAGGATGATCAATGATGAGCTCCAGTTTGCTCTGCATGTGCATTCACTCTAGCATAAGGATCTTCAGCATGGGGTCAGTGGATGAATTCCGAACATCAAAAATACATAAAGAACTTATAAAACTCAACACCCAAAAACAAATAATCCAGTTAAGCAATGGGCAGAAGACATGAACAGACATTTTTCCAAAGAAGACATACAGATGGCTAACAGACACATGAAAAGATGTTCAACATCACTCATCAAGGAAATACAAATAAAAACTACAATGAGATATCACTTCACACCCGTCAGAATGGCTAAAATTAACAACACAGAAAACAACAGATACTAGCAAGGAAGTGGAGAAAGGGGAACCCTCTACACTGTTGGTGGGAATACAAACTCATGTAGCCACTCTGGAAAACAGTATGGAGGTTCCTCAAAAAGTTAAAAATAGAACTACCCTATGATTCAGCAATTGCACATGCAGAAGAATAAAACTGGATGACTTTCTTACACCATACACAAAAAAATTCAAAACGGATGAAAGACCTAAATGTGAGACAGGAATCCATCAACCTCTTTGACCTCAGCCACAGCAACTTCTTGCTAGAAACGTCTCTAGAGGCAAGGGATACAAAAGCAAAACTGAACTATTGGGACTTCATCAAGCTGAAAAGCTTTTGCACAGCAAAGGAAACAATCCACAAAACTAAAAGGCAACCTACAGAATGGGAGAAGATATTCACAAATGACATGTCAGATAAAGGGCTAGTATCCAAAATCTATAAAGAACTTATCAAACTCACCCCTCCAAAAAAAAATCCAGTTAAGAAATGGGCAGAAGACATAAACAGACATTTCTCCAAAGAAGACATCCAAATGGCCAACAGACACATGAAAAAATGCTCAACATCACTTGACATCAGGGAAATACAAATCAAAACCACAATGAGATACCACCTCACACCAGTCAGAATGGCTAAAATTAACAACTCAGGAAACAACAGATGTTAGCAAGGATGCAGAGACAAGGGAAACTTCTTACAATTTGGAGGGAATGCAAACTGGTGCAGCCACTCTGGAAAACGTATGGAGGTTCCTCAAAAAGTTAAAAATAGAACTACCCTATGACCTAGCAATTGCACTACTAGGTATTTATCCAAAGAATTCAAACATAGTGATTCGAAGGGGCACACGCACCCCAATGTTTATAGCAGCAATGTCCACAATAGCCAAAATATGGGAAAAGCCCAGATGTCCATCATCAGATGAATGGATAAAGATGTGGTGTGTGTATATATATCTAATACACACACACACACACAATGGAGTATTACTTAGCTATCAATAAGAATAAAATCTTGCCATTTGCAATGATATGGCTGGAACTAAAGGGTATTATGCTAAGCAAAATAAGTCAGTCAGAAAAAGACAAATACCATGTGATTCCACTCATATGTGGAATTTAAGAAACAAAACATATGAACATTGGGGAAGGGAATGAAAAATAAGATAAAAAATAGTGAGGGAGGCAAACCATAAGACACTCTTAACTATAGAGAACAAACTGAGGGTTGCTGGAGGGGAGATGGGTGGGGAATGGGGTACTTGGATGGTCAGCATTAAGGAGGGCACTTGAAGTAATGAGCACTGGGTGTTGCATGTAACTGATGAATCACTGAATTCTACCCCTGAAACTAGTAATACACTATATGTTAAATTGAATTTAAATTAAAAAATGAAAACAAAAACAAAAAACAAACAAAAAGATAGCACTACCCTATGATCCAGCAATTGCACTAAGTATTTACCCAAAGGATTAAAAAAATGCTGATTCAAAGGAGCACAGCACCCCAATGCTTATAGCAGCATTAGCAACAATAGGCAAATTATGAAAAGAGCCCACATGTCCATCAGCTGATGAACGGATAAAGAAGATGTGGCACATATTCAATGGAATATTACTCAGTCATAAAAAAGAATGAAGTTTTTCCATCTGCAACAATGGGGAGTGAGATGGAGTATATTATGCTAAGGAAAGTAAGTCAGAGAAAGACAATATATGATTTCATTCATATGTGGAATTTAAGAAACAAAACAGATGAATATAGGGGGAAAAAGGGAGGCAAATCAGAAAATGGACTCTTAACTATAGAGAACAAACTAAGGTTTGCTGGAGGGGAGGTGGGTGGGGGGATGGGGTAACTGGGTGATGGGCATTAAGGGGGGCTTGTGATGCAATGAGCACTGGGTGTTATATGCAACTGATGAATCACTAACTTCTACACCTGAAACTAATATTACATTGTATGTTAACTAGAATTTAAACAACTTGAAAAAAGAAATAAAATAATTTCACCTTTATTTTCCTTCAATTATGAACATAACAACAAACCACAGCTGAGTCCCTGGAAGATTTTGTCACCAATAAAACCAAGATATTTACATGTAACATTACCATTGTTATGAAACTTGTAATGTTATTTGTAACTATCATTTACTGTACTAAAAGTATTCTTCAAAATAATTGATTTTTTCAATTCTATATATTTTATCTTAGGAATTTACAAATAAATGATTTTGAAAAGCGTCCATGGTTTTCACCAGATTGCCAAATGGACTCACGGCATAAAAAGTACTTAAGGACATGGGCGCCTGGGTGGCTCAGTCGTTGGGCGTCTGCCTCGGGCTCGGGTCATGATCCCGGGGTCCTGGGATAGAGTCCTGCATCAGGCTCCTGCTCAACGGGAGGCCTGCTTCTCCCTCTCCCAGTTCCCCTGCTTGTGTTCCCTCTCTGTCAAATAAATAAAATCTTTTTAAAAAAAAATACTTAAGGACAACTGACAGAGTTCTCTCTCTCCCATTAACCTGAGACAAGATAATACAGTACATTTAATAATAAAACTTGCAGTATAACATGGCAATGTGAAAAATAAGCCCCACTATTTTTATGTAATGCTAGAACTTTCTACATAGAGCACTTTGGCAATTTCTGGGACTTTTTTTTTTTTTTTTGGTTGCTATAAACATTTAGGGGCACTAGTGGCATTAGGTGGGGTAGGCCTGGGATTTGGACACCTTACCATGTACTGGACAGCCTGCATGATTTGAAATGATGCAAAAGCATTAATAAAGATGCAAAATGCATTGAAAATCACCTCAGTTTGAGATTTTTTTTTTTTTTTACATATAAACACCAACTCTTGTGTGTATTTTAAGACATAGAAATTTTTTAGAAAACAGCTAGTGTCTAAATCACTAATCAAAGGAAAATTGTTGTTGCTATTCAGAACTTTACCAAGAGCTGTTTTGCATTTTGAGAAATTATATTACCAATGTCAAAATCGCTCAAAGTATCTGAATCAAAGTATTTGTATCAGTCTGTAGTGGAGATGGTCACATATATGCTAATTCTACCAACATACGAAAGCATGTAACGACTACCTTATGTATTCGAGGGTAGCTGTATTTTACTCTTATATGTTAAAATACGTATTAGAATACATTACATTAAACATTTTTTCCTTTTGGAACACTATGCTCATTTTTTAAAATTATATTGATAGATGAAATTACATATTATTTTGTTTCAGCATACAAAAGTCATTGTGAATTACTTTATACAAAGGGGGTCAGGGTTTGAGAACTAACTACTTCTACCTGACTTAGCCTCTATGAATCTGTTTATCTATAAAATGAGGCTAATGATACCTATCTTAGAAGATATTTATAGAAATTAAGTGAAATATCTGACAGCAGTTAGTACAGTGACAGACAAGTGTTTGATCTATAGTAGTCATTAATATAATGTCCTCATTTCATAAGTTATTTTTGAAGGTAAGATCTAGATTTATTAATATCTCTATTCTTATAGTTTCTGGCATGCATCTCGCATTCACAAAATGTTCATTAAAAAATCTACAAAGTTTTGCCAAAAAAATTCCCTTTATTATATTTGAAGGAAAAATAATGTCATTCTTAGAAATATCATGTATATCAAAGAAATTCTCCAATCTTGATAGCTATTTCCAATGGTGGAAATAGTGGGGAAGGAAAAATAATCAATGATGCTGTATCCACTGCAGCAAACAAAACCACTTTCAAACCAAGGAGAGCGGTTGGGATAGATGACAGGACAGCTGCCTCCTATCTAATTCAGAATTCCAAAGATAACACAACTGAAAGTATAGTAGTGAGGATACTGAGATAGAGTAATTTTTGGCATTTAACCCAAAATTTATATTAAAAATAGCTCAGATTTTAATTTCTTTGCTATTAAAAATAAAAAAATCAATGTAGAAACAAAAAACCCAGTTCTCAGCTCATTTGTGTCATTCTTAGAAAAATGAAAGAAAACTTAGAATATCAATCAAAATAATTATCATTGCCATAAACTTAAAATGCAAAATATTACAAAAACAGAAATAAATCCTTTTTTTGTCACCTTTTGATAAAATAACCACTAGAGTTCATGTAGGTCCTAGGAGACAGACATGTAAAAAATTTTTCCTGCAAATAACAAGTGCAATAAACAGCAAACTCTGGATAATAAAGATTGGTAAATATTTCTAGAATCTATTACTTAACAAAATCAAAATATCCGGTCTCATTTGTAAGAATAAGTATTTGAGCCTCTAGTTTTTGTTATAAATTTAAGGTAAAGATTTTTAGCTTGATACACAGACACACACACACACACACGCATATACACAAATAGTACTCCATATGAAACAGTATAACTATATATGTATACATGTATAATTTTTCCTTGTACATAATTCATAACTGTATATGCACACATATACATTGTGTGTTTCTGTATGTGTATTTATCAAATTGAGAGACAATACTGTAATATCTCTTTTCAAATTCCTGTTAGAAATAACTTCTCTGTACCAGATGGAAGTACACCTTCCAAATGACTGCTCGCATTTCCATTATTTTCTTCATTAATTCGGTTTGTATTTTTTGTTATTGTACCATCAAGAGTTTACCATTCCCTCACCCATACACCCAGCTACTCATTCACCCACATAGCAGTAATTTTCGGAGCCCCTATTAACGTACAGACACGAACAAGACTTAGTGAGGTTAGATAATTCAACCAACCATACTCTTCCTTCTTTAATGTCAAAATAAAGTGCATGTGATATTAATGGATTCACAACAAATATAATCAACGATGTGCCCCGGTTCTTGTGATCTTGTGTAAGGGAATTTGAATATCTCTGTATTTCTCATTGATTCTATTCTTTTCATTTCTTAATTAAGTAAATCTTTAAATTTAGATCATAGATTTAGAGAAAAGTGTAAAGAGAATACAGAGTCCCTGCATGTCCCCCAGCCAGATTCTTCTATTATTATCATCTTCTATTACATTTGTTCTGGGTTTTTTTTTTTTTTCCTCATAAAGACATGCCAGTTCCTACTTTATCTTTCCCAAAGAGCTTTTTGTAAATAATACTTAAAATAAACAATGTTTGCTATTATGTTTCAAGTTTAAGCTGTCAGAAACTTACATTTTTTATCTCCACAGAGTAAAGACAATTGTGGGACTGCTATTGCAAATACTGGAAATTCCACGTGGATTTTGCAATGCATATAAAACCAGACATTTAGTTCAGGATAGTGTGGTGAAGAATCATCACATGTGGATGTTCAGCCTCTCTGAACATTCTCCTTCCATTTTGGCTACATTCCTCTTTATGTTCTCTTCTTCCCAAGACTGAAGCTAGGTAACTCACATTCCTAGATTCCTTTGTAGTGATGGCCCAGATATTTGACCTCCATTCAAGTAAGATCTGAACTCAAAATTAAAGTGAAGCAGTGGTTCTATTCTGAGAATTTGCTCATTTGGCAACAGTGGTGGCGGAGCCTTTAGTATTTTGATGTAAAGTTTCTGGTATTTAGTCTTGCGGAGCAAAAATATTGATTAATGATGGCAATGTTGTTTTCTCCAAAGAAACCCTGCGATGGAATTGGACAGTTTCTCTACAGTGGCTTCAAAGGCAGGCCCTCTGCCTTTCAAAGTCTTGAGCAACCTAACAGTGTAGGAAATAATCTGTTTCTGCCTAAAACTAATTAGAGCAAACTCTAGTTCCTTTGCAACTAAGAATACTGACGAATGCAGTAACTTTGAAAAAATGAAGGGAACTTCAATACCAGGACTTATGTGGGACTGACTGTGAAGGACATGATGGGGGCAGCCAGCGAAGATTTCATGACCACAGTCTGGAAAGCCAAGTCACTGCCAAGTGCAATAGCAGAACAGCAGGTCAAACTGTTGCTTGCTATACCTTGCAATTCTGAGCACATGCCAAGTAAAGTTTTTCTATGATGTGAATGGTTGGAGTAAAATTTAGAATGTTGCCACATGTTTATTAAGTTCGGCTGCTATCAAAAATGCACTACAGTGGAGATGCACTCAAACTAAATCCAGACAGTTTGTAAGCAGAGATGCAAGGGGGCCCAGCTATGCCCAAAGAGGCTCACTCTGCTTGTGTCCCGCAATATAAATTGACTGAGGATATCATAAATTTGGAACCCTACAAGTTTGAGAAAAGCCAGCCGCTTCTGTATAGACAAAATGTAATGCACAGGTAACAAGCAAGGGTTTCTAAGTGCAACTTCAAAAAGAGATAAAATTGTGCCCCTGGGCTTTTCAAACACTTTCCTTCAGGAAGTCTCTGAGTGACAATGAAGGGAATTTAGTGGCAAAGATGAAATCAGCGGTGTTGCATTCATTCTCGCCTTGGCATGCTTACTACTTTGCAGAGGTTGAGGCAGCAACCATTAGGTCAAGAGAAAGAAATTAGAGCAGAGGAGCCGGCAGTGAAGAGTTAAAGTTTGCAGGCTCATGTGGTTACTCATAAAATTGTCTTGAAGCCCATCTCCTGGAATCTTGGTAAATTTTCCTGGAAGAGTATTATCAAATGTGCCTCAGGCGGGCTACAGCTGTATTTAAAGTAAATGCTTCTTCTCCTTCTTCTTCTTCTTCTTCTTTTTTTTTAATGAGAGAGAGAGGGAGAGAGAGAATCCCAAGCAGGCTTCAGGCCCAGCGTGTGAGCCCAGTGTGGGCCTCGATCTCACAACCCTGAGATCATGACCTGAGCCAAAATCAAGAGTTGGACACTTAACCAACTGAACCACCCAGGCGCCCTGTAAATGCCTTAGTCTTACGCTGCTTCTGATCTTCATCATCATCAAATAAGGAATGCTTCGCTAATTTGTATGTCATCCTCATGCAGGGGCCATGCTAATCTCCTCTGTATTTTTCTGATTTTAGTATAGGTCCTGCGAAGTGAGTACCTTTTAATTATTTTTAGAGCCCTCTTTCATTTGCTTGCACTTTCCAGAGTACCTGCTTAGAGTGTGGACATTGACATATTGAGTGAGGAAGGTCTCCCCAGACGTAGAACCAATGACTTGGAGGAAAATGGATAAAAGAAATTCATCTGGAAAGCACAAGGGCCTGCCAGATTGGTTAGCCAAGTAACTACTCCTGCCGCTAGGATCAGAAAGCCCAGAGTGTCTAGTAGGTGTCTACAGGTGTCTAGTAGGATTCTATATTTGCTAATGTACCGACAATGGTCATGTCTTTCCCACTTTCCCTATTACTGAATGAGACTTTTAAATTGCTGTTGCCCCATCTTCTTCTCTCATCGCAATAATACATTGGGAATTTTGGAGGAAGATGACATGCCTTTAATTAATAACTCCCAGGATCACAAGGAACCAAACCTGGAGCGGATGCAGAGACTACCCAAAGATCACAGACTTCAAGCTAAATGCACTAACTGTATAAAATTTTGGTATTGCCTACCTTGGAAGGGAGAGGATGAATTCATTTTATTTAAATTAAATATAGAGATAGAAAGGCTGTATATAAACGCTGAATAGTCAACGAGGGGGAAGGTGGCCCACACTAGAAATGTATTTACTCAACAACCTTTCAACCCCTCCTTTTCCTTTTCTACTTTTATGCAGTATCTCAGCCTTCCTTGTAACTGGAGAGGACCACTTAACATAGTTCTGCCAATTAGATATAAGCCAAAGTCTTCTGATCTTCTCTGTTACGTTTTCCTCTTTTATTATTCTGGAATATGGATACAGAACAGCTTTCACTAAAGATGTTAGAACAGGTAAGTGGAATAAGCTTTGTCCTTTGATGGAATAATTTAGTTACCTTACTAGCCCTCAAATGCCTATACCTGGAATTTTTGTTGAAAGAAATCAACTGCTTTTTATTAATCTAGATCTGTGGCTTAATGTGAAAGTGAATGAAATTCTAATAAAATCAAATAGGTAAATAATAATAAACTACGAAGTTCATTTTGCTTGATTATATACAAAATAATTCAAAACATTTAATTTATGAGCTGTTACTATTTTTTACACCCGATGTGTTTTATGTCACTTAACTATTTAACATGTGTTTCATAAACCCTGACTTTTATGAAAACACACAGTTTTGCATTTCAGATGGGAAATGATAGGCTCACATATGAAACAAAATTTGACAGCAAGAGAAATATCCTTACATATAAAAAAAAAATCTGTTACATATAATAGAAAAAAAAAAAAACGTAGCCCCATTAAATCTTCCTCTGCTAGACCATATCCAACCTGGTTAATTAGCTAACCAAGACTTCTGGTTTAGTTTACCAGTTTGTGAATTTGGCTTTTTTTTTTTAAATCAGTAGAGAATAAGATATTTTACTACACAAACTCTTGATAAATAAAGTATTGTTAGAGCCACTGTTTTGTAGTTTTCCTTTAACTAAAAATAATTCCCTTCTTAAAGGATGGTTCATATGTCTAATTTTATGTTTTTTTAATTGTTAAAGACTGGTTTTGTTTCCACAAGAATATGATGTTTTATTTCTTCCCAAATTAAAGGAAAACATTTCCCCCTCTGACTCAGGATTTTTGTGTGTGTCTATGTTTTGTTTTTAAATCACAGGTACCGTATCTCTATAGAGCCAATCGCTATTGGGCCAATTTTTTTTTTTTTGGAAGCCATCCAAATGACTAATTTCTTTGTAATTATTTATTCCAACTTTGCAAATGGTCTCAATGCAAATATTTTTAGATTTAGAGTTTCCTGGGGAAAGTCCAATATATCTCCAATGATTAAAGCAAAAAACAAAACAAAAAAACAAAGTAACAAAACAAAAATAAAACCCAGGCCTTAGCCAAGTTATCAGAGTTTAACACATTCCGAGAAAAGTTGCTTCATGTTGAGAGATGTCCATGAATTTCATAAAGTCCATAAAGTCTGAATTCGATGGGAAGAAAGAAGCCCTTCCCCAAGTAATCATACTGTGATGGGAAGTCATTACTAATGTAGTATATTAACAAACAGTTGTCTGAAGAATGAAAACTGCACTTAGAGCGGCACTAGATCTAATGAAGTAAAATAGATCTCATGTGACAAGTTTGTCAGGAAAAAAGCCAATAGGAAGTGATGTGACATTAAAAATCGTGTCTGTTAAAATTGTGTAAAATTATAGCCACACATTTTAAGTGTGGCAAATGAGAATTCTATATTTTAAATGGTATTATACCGGGTTTGGTTAACAGAAACATTAATAAGGGATATTAAATACATATGAATAAATGCGTGTGTGTGTGTTTGCACTGAAAGAAGCTGTAAGGGTATGTATCGAAATATAGGTGGCAGAATTAGTAAACATTTTTATTTTATTCTTCATATTTATCTGATACAATCAACAAAAGTGTATTTTAAAATATCTAGTAATTGTAAATAATCCCATTTTAACTAAGGCTTCCAGGCAGAACATTGAGAAAATCAGCAGCCAGAAACTGGAAAGAGCCATCCTGAGGCAAAGGAGCAGCCTTTTGAACAGTAATTAAATTCTCTAGTTACAGCTTAATTCTTTAAACTCTGACCCACCAAATGGAAATACTGTGAGAGAGTGTTCACATTTCCTTTTAGTGATTTATTATGAATTATGTAACCCACTTCCATTGCCATATTGATGTCTCAATTGTGCCTGATTTAAGATCCCAACCCTATTACCTCTCAATTCTATTACAGTAGATGAACAGACTCTATGTTCAAAACCCAGGGACAGTGCACACCAGCTATTCCCACCTGCATTTTTAAGGACAACTGAGTTATGGGTATCAGGATCAAAAAACAGTCCCCAACGTTTCACTTTTAAGTTTTCCTGAGGTTTTTCTTTATAGTAATTGGGCATTGTAGATCCATTCTATAAATTAATGACCAAGAAGATGATAAAAATAAGAACAAGAAATCAATTATATTATTTTGAAAAAGGACAGGAAGTGAAGAGGAATTCATGCACTAGCATTTAAGGGTTGGCTGAAAGAAGCCCTTATACCATAACAGACCCGAGAACCAAAGAGCAAAGTACCACCTTATAAGACAGACCCATCTGTCTGCCCCACCTTCGAGCCCCACAGTTAGAGCATGAATATCTCAAAGTCTTATATTCTATCTTTATATCCAGTATTTTCTTCACAGATACTAATGTTCCAGAATAAAATTTTAATAGCTGTCTTAAGAATTATTAAATGCTATTAAAATATTAGCATTAATAAAAATTAATGTTAAAATAATAAAGGTAAAAAACCTTTAGATAAATACTTGTGTCCATTTTGCTGTGAAGAGAGAGACCACTTAGAGATTAGAAGATCTATATGGTATCATTTATATATGGAGTCTAAAAAAATAAACTAGTAAAAAGAGTAAAATGGTGACTATCAGAAGCTGGGGTTGGTAGAATAGGAGAGGTTTTATTTAAGGGTACAAACTTGCAATTAGTAGACATGTAAGTCCTGGAGAGCTAATGCACAGCACAGTGAATACAGATAACATTATAATAATCATCTAATACACTGAGAGACTAAAGTCTTAATTATTCCCACCACAAAAAAAGAATTATGTGACATGAGAGCAGTACTATTGCTACAATAGTAATATTAAAATATATAAATGTATCAAATTAAGGTTTTGTACACCTTAAATTCATATAATGCTATATCTCAAATAGATTTCAAGTAAAAAGAGCAGGTAGAAAACTGGAGGACCAAATGGCTCTCTCAACAATTGGAGAAATGAATAGCTGTGTAGGAGTATGTATTATGCAAGATGGGTGTGGTTTCTAGTCACCATTTCTTTGATTCACCATGTATTTTTCCATTGCAGACACATTGTTCATTGTGTTTCTTAGGACAAGGATTTCTTTTCCCTATTCCTCTACCTGATGAACATTTACCTGTCTTTCAAGACCCAGAGAAAATATCACCTCTGAGTGAAACTTCCCTGGGAGTTTTTTTTATTCTTTTTTATGTTTCAATCCCTAGTACCTGTAGCAAGTAGATATTCAAAATTGCTTACCAAAAAAATATCACAGGTTCCTTTTTCTCCACATTCTCACCACCACTTGTTATTTCCTATCTTTTTGATTTGCCATTCTGACAGGTGCAAGGTATATCTCATTGTGTTTTCTTTTTCCTTTTGAAGGCATATATATTTTTTTTTGCAGTTTTTTTAAATTTTATGTTATGTTAATCACCACACATTACATCATTAGTTTTTGATGTAGTGTTCCATGATTCACTGTTTGCATATAACACCCAGTGCTCCATGCACACATGCCCTCTTTAATACCCATCACCAGGCTAACCCATCCAACCACCCCGTCCCCTCTAGAACCCTCAGTTTGTTTCTCAGAGTCCATAGTCTCTCATGGTTCACCTCCCCCTTCTGATTCTCCCCGTTCATTTTTCCCTTTTTTTTTTTTAATAACATATAATGTATTATTTGTTTCAGAAGTACAGGTCTGTGATTCATCAGTCTTACACAAGTCACAGCGCTCACCATGGCACATACCTTCACCAATGTCCATCACCCAGCCACCCCATCCCTCCCACCCCCCACCACTCCAGTAAGCCTCAGTTTGTTTCCTGAGATTAAGAATTCCTCATATCAGTGAGATAATGATACTTGTCTTTCTCTGATTGACTTATTTCGCTTAGCATAATACCCTCTAGTTCCATCCACGTCATTGCAAATGGCAAGATTTCATTCCTTTTGATGGCTGCATAATATTCCATTGTATATATATATCATATCTTCTTTATCCATTCATCTGTCGATGGACATCTGGGCTCTTTCCACAGTTTGGGTATTGTGGACATTGCTGCTATAAACACTGGGGTGCACATAACCCTTCAGGTGACTGCATTTGTATCTTTGGGGTAAATACCAGTAGTGCAATTGCTGGGTCGTACGGTAGCTCTATTTTCAACTTTTTGAA